AGCTGGGGGTGAAGCAAGAGATAGAGATATACAAAGGGATGTGCAGGTAGAGGGGCAGAGAAGAGGGAAAATAGGGTGAGAAAGGGAAGCTGAAGAAGAAGGTAAAAGAGCAATTTACAGTCATTTAGTTGACTTTTTCTCCAGAGCAGCTTTCAAAGAGAGAGCAGGTGGAGATTTGGTGTCACGTTCAAGAACTCTTCAACTAGACACCAGACTGCTTGCATGTTTCAAACCTGTGAACTTTGCTCCCTTTTAAAGCCAGAGAAAACAAAATGGGCAGACTTCACAGGCTCTCTGTTATATATAGCTATACTCGTATCTCTCTATCCCTGTATCTTCCCCTGGTCGAGTTGTTTCAAAGAGTCCTGAGAGACTGAGCCGGCCTGTTAGCGCGCTCAGCTGGAGACTACGTCCTCTCCTCTGCACGCCACTACAGCTCTCATTGTTAAAACCTTTTCAACTGTAGACAGATCACAAAAAAAAAGTTATGCTTGAAATGTAAAAGAAAGTACTTAAAAGAAAGCTAGCATTTGCTAATTAGCACTAATGACAGTAGTATTGGACACATTAAAACTATGACGTGATTGTAGCAGGTCAGGTCAGCAGCCTGAGGTCCGTTGGGGCACTTTGATGACATCACCACCCGTCTCCACACATCCCAATCTTCTGGCAGTCTGAGAGGAGACTATTCTGCTTGCTTGTCTAGCCTCAGTTACATCCACACACAACCCTTTACACACAATGTCCTCTTCCAACAGCTTGTCAAAGTGTGTTTTCAAGGGCATTTCCCTTCAGATTGCTCTGTGAAAGGCTTATAAACAAGCCAGCCCTGAAAACCGAGGGTGGATGGTGGGAGGGGGGTGTGTGAGTCTAAGAGTAAAGAAAAAAAAAACATCCATGCTCAACTTTATGCGCTTGTTTCTGCCAATGTTGTTGTTTTTATCCATTAATTTATTATGAGATTGACTTAGGGATTTTCAGGACCTCAGTTTGTAATAAAAAACAAGGATAGAAAGTGGAGAGAACTGAGGGTAACCTTATTGTTAGTGTGGAGTCAATCCTGTTTCTATTATAACTGGCATTAGATTCACAGTCTTCTTATAACTCAATATATCACATTATGTGTTTCAGTTTTTGCACCACTGGAGTTTTGGCCACGGCTGAAACCAGATACACAGAAGGATCAAACACTCAGACACATCTATAAAGCACTATAAGGGATGTTTTTTGTGATGGACAATCCGAGATAATGATATATTCGGAAAGTTTTAGTCACACTCAATCGAAAAATAAGTACATCATAGTTGAAAGACTTTTGGTTTCTAATGAAGAGCTGAGAAGATAAAGGAGAGGGACACTGTAGTGGTTATATGGATGGAATCTTACGCCACCAGGACGCCCCACTGACATCATTAAAGCAACTAACCCCACACGCTCTTGGAAAATGAAAGGAAATTCAATTAGCCATTATCCTGTAACTGCCTCGTGTAGCCAGAGTTTCCACTGTTCAGCAAACGTTGTAATATCACATGGTCCCATTTTCAGTAAAAAACAACTATACCAGAAGGAAAAGCTTCAAAAACATATTTGCTTGTTGATTCAAAAGAAAATGACTGGATGATTGTCTGTTGTCTTTCTAACGGCCCCTACACACGGCGGCGTGCGTTGAAGCTTCTGCCCATTCACTTTGAATGGGGTGACGTTACGCTTTGCCGAACTGCATTGTGGGAGCAAAGCGTTGCTCGCTTCAAAAGTAGAGCAACGTTCTACTTTTGAAGCTTCGACGAAAGCATCAGCCAATCGAATCATATGCCAGTACAAGCTCTAGCCAATCAAACCGCTGCTTGTGTGTCCGGGGCGGGAGATTCAGGTGATTGGTTGTTGGTCTAGCTTCAGACATGCCCGCCGGCAAGCGTCAACGCACGCCGCTGTGTGTAGGGGACGTAAGGGTGACATTTTCAATATATATGTTGGTAAACAAGTCAAGTTAATTTGAATTGTAAAAGTAAATGTCTTAAAAGTGGAATTTTAATTATAATTCTGCACGTCACGTCACTTTTCATAGCAGTTTAAATAGCGCAGCTTGATTGCAGAAAACATCTCGAGGGAAATCTACGGCATCTGATGACCTACTTCAGCTATCACCCAATAAAAAGTTAGAGGTCTCACTTTATCTGTCATCATTAGGCATGTAATTGCACACACACACACACACACACACACACACACACACACACACACACCACACACACACACAACACACACACACACACACACACACACCACACACACACACAACACACACACACACACACACACACACACACACACACACACACACACACACACACACACATCACACACCCACATACACACCACAACACACCACACACACAATCCCACGTAAAGCCATTCAGTTAATCACACATACAATCTTCTTTTATTATCACATCTTGCCAGACTCTGACAACAGACTGTAATCTTCTGAGAAGCGCGTCTACTGAATGACACACTCCATTCTACAAAAACCATTTCCAAATGCTTCTTTGTTTCAGGTTTTCTTATAATGCTAGTAACAGAGGACAAAGATGAAGCCTCACAGTGGTGAGAGTGACAGCGGACAACAGTGAGAGAAAAACCGACAGTGAAGAAAGGAGACAATAAAGATGGAGTGTGTCTGTCTGGTCTGTGAAGAACAGTCCTGCTGTGTGAGAGTGTGTGTGAGTGTTTATAATTAGTGTACGCAAAGATGGATCCTCTGAATGCAAATGTATCTGTGTGACTAAAATTAATGTTCTCTAGAAGAAAATCTGACGTTACAGCTTGCAATTTTTGAAAATCTTGTGTTGATGTTTCAGTCGTTCAGCAATCTGAAGCGGGCATTTATATCACATTAAATGGACTGGCAGAGATCACGTGAAACACAGCAGTTTTGGGGAAATATGAAAAACGTCTACCTTAAAGCACTCTAAATGTCCTTATGTTGAAAGGTGTATACACTTGCCTTGCCTTACTGTGATTAAGGTGCAATTTATTTTGTATTATTAGTCATATGCTTAATATTTTAATGAATGCATTATTTCTAGGGACGCTCCGATCGATCGGTCACCGATCGAGATCGGCCGATACTCACTCTCTATCGATCGATCGGTGCTCTCTAAACATGCCGATCGCGAGAGCCGAACGCCTGACGTAAAATACATGACACTTTTCTCTGTGTGCGGCAAAACAAGCTCGCCAAAATGGCTTCACCGGTCTGGCATTATTTGAAGGTGTCCGAAAAAGACAGTAAAATAGCGGTATGCAACGTGTGTGAAGCAGAAATCCTGCAACTCCGCCCGCCGGACAGGTAAGCGGAACGAAACACACAAGAGTTAGACCTAACACACTTAGCTATTTTATCTACCTCTGGAACAAGCTAAACTAGTTATTATAAATATATTTATTCTTCACTGTCGGGTCACTCATTACTGGATCAGTGAGCTGCATGAGATACTGACAGGCTGTCAGGAGGGAGAGAGAGAGGGGGAGAGAGGTGGAGAGAGATAGGGAGAGAGGAAAAGAGAGCGCTTCCGCTCATTTCTCCCGTGTTATTCTCCAAAGTGAATGTAAACTTGAATAATGTACATCATTTGAATGTAATAATTAAGTTGATTGTTGTGTGTGGAAGCTCCAGTGAATGAGCCCCATTAACTGAGTTTTAAACATCACTTTAAATGGAAGATTTAAAGTGATGTTTAAATCTTCCATTTAGGCCCCGCCCACTCGATCGATATCGGCCGATACTGATTCGGGCGATCGGTCCCGAAATTGGCGATCGGAGCATCCCTATTATTTTCTCTTCTGTACTGACAAGCAAAGATGCGTGACTCTGTATTTTGATTTGATTAATAGTCAGATCATCAGTTCACCGGTAATTCAACAGTTTTCAGTCCAAACAACCGTCTGAATAGACGATAAGTTAAACTAATGGTGCTGTAAATGGTTATTTTAAGCAGTCTTTAGTCACCTTTCCGTCATCCTGTCAAACTGAAATCCTCTATCAGATTAGATTTCTGCACATTTCAACAGTAATATTATTAGTGAACTTCAGCATGCTGACTGAAGCGATTCAAAAGGTTAATTTATTTGCTAATAATTCTCCTTCGGTGAACGATTACTATAAATCATCCACTCCACCAAGAACTTCCCTGTCACTTCAGTCCAGAGACTTGATTTCACTGCCAGTGGAGGCTGAAATAATGTGCATATGAGATCACTTGCATGTGTGTGAGTGTGTGTGACGGTCTGACAGGGAGCTTATACAGGGTATATGCAGGAATCCTGAAGTCAAATGTAATACCTTTTAAGACCTTTTTTAAGACCCTTCCCATACATTTTAAGACCTCATCGCCACTTCAAGTTTTAGCCGGTTACATTGGCGACACACTTTACCTCACATTTACTATATATATTGATTGTCCTTCCTCTTTATCTTCCAACCATTTGGATGCAAACTTGCATTTCCCCTTAACAATGTAGTTTAACAACCGGCGTAAACGGACCTTCGTGCGCTATCAAGCAGTGAGCGTGCGACGTCCTGTTCAGATGACGTCAAATCCAACGGGATGCCATAAATAAACTACACAGAATCACACTACACACCTACGCAATGATTACATTCAGGCAGACTGTAGAATACAACCTCTTTGGACAATTTATATACTTATTGAAAACTAGCTACAAAATGTAATACCTTGGAAAACGCCGTTTAATACTTTTTAATAGCCTTAATTTTCGCTACATTTATTTATCAACTTTTAATACTTTTTAAGACCCCGCGGACACCCTATTATAAGATAACCCAGACAGATGGCATCTTGCTGTTAGTGAAGTTGAACTTTTATTGAACTATTTGGCAAATTAAAAAGGAATCTATTAGGTCGAATGAGGCTAAATCGTATTAGTGAAGAAATCAAGTGGCAGATTCAGCAGCTCATGCTTCATGCCTCCACTCTCACCTGTTGTAGATGTCGTCGTCCTCCCCCCCCCAGCCCCAGTACTCGTTGGGGAAGCCGTTTATCTTCAGAAACTGTTTTTTACTGAGTCCTGAAACTCCTCCAAAGTAGCCGGCGTACGGCAGCCTGCAGGAGGGAGAGAAAAGGAGTTATGATGAGTTATGAAAGGAAGTAGTGAAAGGTCATATAAGTGGCCTTATCAAACAAGACCCTTCAGAGAGAAGAAAGATCAACTCTCTGCTCAGCTGCAAGTCTGTGTAAACAAATTGATGAGAGAAAAATAAATGCAGTTCTTTATATAGAAAAAAGAAAAAAGATATAAATGTCTTAAGTCCTTTATGTGAAAACATATTTAAGGCTGCCAATGGGGTAAAGTGAAAACCCAATTAAAATATTCCTTTTACCATGTTAATAAATAAATGTTCTTTGCAGTAACAGTGTTTATGCTAAATGTGGACTCAACAGCAACAATGTCCCTGAAATGGGCAAGCGTCATAATTCATGTTAATCTAAAATCATCCATGAATCTCAGGTTTTAATATGTGGCATTTAAAGAAACCACCATTTACATTTGAATAACCTCTTGTGGCTATCAGATCTCTTCCTAATGTGTCTTGGATGTATTTTGAAGTGGATAATGTATGGGTGCCTTTCTACACTAAATGGATAATCCACATCCATATAATCTGCTCAACGCATTATGAAATGACCGTGTGTAAAGAGGGACCGCATTATCCCCACATCACCGTACAGCAGACCTCTGGTGCTTAGAAAACAGCCGGCTTTAAACCAAGTTACATTTATGGCTTTAATGATAGAAGTTTCCAAAGTTCGGCTTTAGTCATTTACAAAGAAAAGAAAAGCACAACATGTAATTTGATAAATGTCCAATCATGATTTTAGTGTTTATAAGAGAATCAACAATGAAAAATGAAGATGAGAAAATAAGAGATAAATAAAATAAAAGGGAAGGCAGAAGGTCAGAAAGAACAATGACATGATGGAAGAGTGTAGCAGCCTTGTGTGTGTGTGTGTGTGTGTGTGTGTGTGTGTGTGTGTGTGTGTGTGTGTGTGTGTGTGTGTGTGTGTGTGTGTGTGTGTGTGTGTGTGTGTGTGTGTGTGTGTGTGTGTGTGTGTGTGTGTGTGTGTGTGTGTGTGTGTGTGTAAAAGGCAGACAGGCATTTTATTTTTTCCTCAAAAGTCGTGAGACCAGTGGAGTGGAACGGACATCAGCTGCGAGTGTCATGACAGCGCCTGAAGTCTAACCAGAGGCTGATTCATGTGTGCTTCTGTGCGTGTATATGTGTGTATAAAATCGAGAATATGTGTTGTCAAAAGTATGACAGCTCCCTGTTGAAAGATGACAAGAAGAAAGTAAGACCATATGTTTCTGCATAACTTCTCCCAGCAACAATATGGTGAGGGTGGTGTGTGTGTGTGTGTGTGTGTGTGTGTGTGTGTGTGTGTGTGTGTGTGTGTGTGTGTGTGTGTGTGCGCGTGTATGAGTTTTTTACTATAGAGTAGTAGTAGTAGTAGTAGTAGAATACTTACAGTTTTTCCGGAATCAGCTTTTTTTTACGAGTTTTATATCAGTTTTATTTTTTATGGACGATCTGAAACTAACCAAACACTCAATTTATGTTTTAATATGTATCCTAAACAGGTAGAAACATTTTTTGGCATCTTGTTCTTGGCTTCATGTGTCCTGTTACAAATTTCATATTTCACATATTGCCTCTCTTTAAATCTTCCCAAAACATTTTAACACATGTCATTCACTGAACAAAGTGCTAACGTTGCCAGAAGAAGGTCACGGCCAAGCATAAATGTGCCCTCCGTAAATATGCAAATAGCCTGTAGCACACTCATAATGTGCTCACCCAGGGAACAAGTGTTTAAATATCCACAGAATTCTGTACAACATAATGGTAATAAAACACAATACACTGTGTAAAATCCTTAAAGAGCATAATTTGCAAAATGCTTTTGTGGAAAGGACTTCAAGATGACCCTCTCTCCGGAGAGAGCAGCCAGGTGTTGTGAGGTGCTAAGGTAATGGAACGGCACTTAATGTGACCTGACTTTCACTGGCAATATTTTCAGCCTAAAAAACACTTGCTTTTACATTTGACAGTAGCTAAGGTCGTCTTCCTGAAATGACTCAGCTAAAATATAACATTTAATCTTTGCCAAAGGTTATCGTCAATTAGAAAAGGTAATACCTTATTTGTGTTGATTGTTCGCTAGCTTCCTAGATGTTAAAATAAAGTTGGTAGACCACTTTGCCCTTTGGAACAATGTCCAAATATGATCTCTTTGCAACCATGTGACCTTCAGCTCACTAAAAAGGCTTTATTTGTATCCCATTTTCCATAAAATGTTTAGCAGCCAAAAAACTCCACAGGAACCTGGTGTTATATTGGTTGCCAGATAGCATTAGCTTATTGAGCACTTCATCAGCAGCTCCTGAGGAGTTTTCAGCAGGATAACTCTGGTGGGTGACAGCTTTTGGAGTGGATGGGTCACATTCACTAGCCATGTTAGGCACTTAATCAACACTTCTGGTGCAGGTGTGTTGTTATTATGCAAAAAGAATAACAAAACTAAAACAGGATGATACCATGCAGTGCTGTGAGGATGCAGTAAACTTTGAAGCTCTTTTGCTTACACTGCAATTTGATAAAAAACATCCTTTAAAAATGCTCTCTCACGGGGAAACTCTTGACCTTCTACATATTACCATTCATGCAACAAGATCAATCTGCTATAGATGGTTTGTTCTCATTTAGAATGCAACTAGCAATCCAGTTATATTAATTCATTTTCTATTGCTGTTTTTTGTTCAGACTTATTTATTCGATGTTTGGCCTTTACAGTATCAGAACATGGTGAAAATGAACACACACATTCTTAATGGTGATGACCAATACCTTGAAACAAACATAGTATTTCGTTTGGGATCACATAAGTCAAAGAAAAGCAGTAAAATCAAAATAACTGAGACGCTTGGATAACATTTTAAGCTACTACTTGATGGATTAGAAAAATAGTTATTTTAATAGTTATGAATTAATAGTCTCAACTCTAATGTGCGTATTATCCTTTTACTGTGTGTATTAAATTAAATAAGATCACTGAAAATGTGTCTTTTCCCAATGAACAGGTACAAATATTTCACATACCATATCAGACTTTAAAAACACCATCAGAGTAAATCTAGTGAACACGGTGTTCCCTCATTAAAATATTATGTCTTATTCCGTGTTCTTACAATAACGTTTTCTGATTCTCGTCTGTGAATTTCTCATAAATGATGGCACAATAAAACGAGATCAGTGCCTTGCTGCTATAAAATATGGAAAACACACAGATAATGGATTCTAGCTGCAGTAGTTCGCTCAGCAACAGGTTGGTTTAGCAGCTCTATTATTTGGAACACAGTTTTCAACACTAATTGTTAGGGATTAATTTTGTCTTACTCCTTAACCTTTTCTGTGTGGGGACGTTTACGACCAACCCTGAGTCTGTTATCTGTCTTAAGGAATGGGAGGCGTCAGCTATTGTTGATACACTGAACAAAAATATAAATGCAACACTTTTGTTTTTGCTCCCATTTTTCATGAGATGAACTCAAAGATCTAAAACATTTTCTATATACACAAAATAACCATTTCTCTCAAATATTGTTCACAAATCTGAAAAAATGTGTGATAGTGAGCACTTCTCCTTTGCCGAGATAATCCATCCCACCTCACAGGTGTGGCATATCAAGATGCTGATTAGACAGCATGATTATTGCACAGGTGTGCCTTACGGTACGTCCACACAGCAGCTTTAGACGAATCTTCCACCGCTTCCAACGCTTCTCTGCCCATTGACTTTGAATGGGGATGACGTCACTTTGCCTCGCTTTTCGCCGAACTGAATTGTGGAGGAGCGAAGCGAAGATTTCCAGGATTTCCAGGATTCAAAAGTTGAGCAATGTTCAACTTTTGAAGCTGAGCTGGAAGCATCAGCCAATCAAATCACGTTTATGCAAATCTGACAGTAGAAGCGCCAGCCAATCAAACCACGTGTAAGCAGGGAGAACCAGACCGCAGTTCATTTCCTCATATTCCAAACGAGAAATTACGGTAGCAAATCACCCGGTTCTTTACGACCAGAACTATTAACGGGATACAAACGGAAGAACCAGGCATGGAGGGAGGTGGCAGAGACAGTGGGTGAAACTGGTAGGTTTTCGCCTGTTTGGGGAGTTTATATATATATATATATATATATATATATTGCTCTGGGTTTTTTGCTTTGTATGTCGGGGGCGGGAGATTCATGTGATTGGTTGTTGGTCGCGTTGCTCGCAAAAAATCCCCAAGCTTTCAGACACGCCCAGCTCCAAGATTTTCAAGATTGTTGAAAAGCTGCTGTGTGGACGTAGCTTTAGGCTGGCCACAATAAAAGGCCACTCTGAAACGTGTATTACCAGGTCAACTATCGGGCACAGAGGGTTTTATGACTGTGAGAACGCTGGCTTCTAAGCACCACAGACAGGTGTCCAGTGTTTCCAGATGTGGGGGCTATCTCCAAGTGTTCCCAGAATGTTTACGTCAGCCCCCCAATATGTGGATTAACTCTCTGTAAGCTAGTTAAAAGGTCTATCGAGAGAATGGGTATTCAGATTTGACATGGCAACCCACCAGTGCAGTCAGAATCTCTGGCTGCTGTGACTTGTGATGTGAATTTCTCCGGCCGATACTTGTAATAAACATCAGTGTTTGACATCAAAGCTCCAACTCTCCTCGTGTCTCTCTGAGTCCTGACTCTCCATTGCTGCAGAATTTCCCCTTACACTAATAAGTGTCTTTGCACAAGCTGTAGTCTAGACTTGTTAGATACGCTTCGTATTATTGGCTCTTGTTAGAACTACAGAAGTATGACGAGATAAAATTGGCAGCAGTGAACCAGGAGGCATTTTCATGCTAATTTGGGCTTCAGAAAAGGATTTAAAAGTATAATGAGATTTAGTCAAATTAAATACTGCTCTGTCTATTGTCTGTGATATATAAGGCTGTATGCCACCGCTAATTGTTTTTGTTAAACACAGACAACTGCATTTCAATATTAAACATTTATATTCAAAAAGAAGTGCAAGCTTACAGTATATAGATAACACATGCAGAACCCATCTGCAACTATAGCATTACAATTTCCTGTAGTGTGTGTTTATTAGCTGCGTGTGTGTGGGACTTTTAGCTTGATGTTTTTATTAAGACTAACAAATACCGTACCGTATATTCCATTAAATAGGCTGAACTGAAATGCTCCTGAGTGTCATGTCTTGTTTAGGTAAATCGCAAGTAAATAGGTTTTATATTGTGTATTCCATAGAGATACTCAATAGATATATATATATTTGTTGATATGTGGATATTTACTGTGTATGTATATGATCTAAAGTCAAAATGTATATATTTACTGTTTTATTCTGTAATTTATGTCCAATGCCTTGTTTTCATGCTGCTGTGAACAAACAATTTCCCCAATTTGTGATCAACAAAGTAACTTTAAATTAATCTAACGCTCCCTGGTCCGCACAAAAAACGCACGCCAAGCTGAAACCGTCCCCTCACCTGAAGCCGAACTTGTCCATGGCGATGGCGAAGTGCCTGGGCTGGTCGTAGCAGTGGTAAAGGTTGCGGTCGTCCATCGGGATCAGGTCCACGTCACTGAAGATGAAGCAATCGTACTCCCCATCCTTCATAGCCTCTGTGTAGCCAACGTTCAACAACTTGGCACGGTTGAAGGTTTCCTCCCCCAACTGCAAAGAAACAAAACAGAAACAAGAAAGATCATGGATTAGTTGTTTGCATTATGGATGAAGAGGGTAAGTAAGGTAGCTCCATCAGGACATGTCATCTGCTTGAAAGACTGTGTGAAAAATAACAGTTTGGAATCTGCCGGAGCCTGAAACACATATTCAGGAAGTGACATAAATAACAGCTTTAATTAACTAAAAGAGAGATAACATAACTCTGTTTCTATAACGTACATCGTCTACCTTCACACTTCTACTTTGTAAGGTTGAATGTAGACTTGTACGAAAGTAAAAGAGGGCATTGAAAGGAATTTAAATGAGAAAAAAATGAATATATCTGTCAAAATCACATGATTTCTTAATTTTATTGTGTGGAAGTAACAACCACACGCTTAAATGGTACAGGCAGTGGCACCATAAACAAAAGAAGAAAAGTCAGACCAAGCCAATTGAGGTCAGGATCACATCAAAAGGTGTTTTTTTTCTGTGTTACTCCAGTATGAACAGATATCTATTGACCCCCAAGAAAAGATCAGTGTCCTGAAAGTAAAAACACATCTGCCTCTGAGACTCTAAAGTTTAACACCTTGAAAAACAAAGTCCCGTAGTTTCAACCATAAATTGTTATATCTGTTAAATATGCAAAATGCCTCTTATTTGCATTAAACTTTTTTGTGATGTTAATATTTCTTTGGGACTGCATTCAATCTTTTTAATGGTGCAATATTTTCATTTTAAAGCAGTCCAGATGCATTCAGATTTTAACATCATTTTTGGATAATCCAATGGATTATATTGCTAATTACAAAAACTACTACCTACCACTACTTACTACTTAAAAATGGTCAAGTAATTTGTATTCAGTAAATGACTACATCTCAAATAAGGCCTAATATGATCAACCCTGGTCATTACTACAGAGGAATATGTAGTTTGCTAGCTAGCTAACCAAACATTCAACTATCAACAACAGCTCAGTCAGGTATAGGTGCGGAAAAAATTATCCGAATGTTCCTTTAATCACAGTGAAACACGTCGTCACCATAGGCGGATTTTGCGTAGTGGCTGAAATATGTTACAGCATTACTACGTCGAAAACTGTTCCAATACAAATATTTCGTATATCAATATTTTAATAAGGTAGGACACTCGTTAATAATATTGTAGCGTGTTCAAGTAACCAAGGGATATAGTAGTTATCAAATAAGTATAAGATGTGCACAGTTATGATACGTTTTACAGTTATGTAATGCACTGTTGTTGGGGGGAGAGACCGCCCCTTCCATATGACTGTGTGTGTACGGCGGGCATAGAAAAGTCATACTCAGTGCGGTGAATGCTGGCTTTATTGCTACTGTATCCGTAGCACCCCACGCAATAGTTGGGACTGTGTACTGACGTCAGTAAAAAAGGTTTGCCCCCCCCAAGAGCAAATGTCAAACTCCGCCTATGATCGTCACACGCTGAGGAAAACCACTTCCGTTTCAGAGCATCATTGAACATCAGTATTTAGTGCCTGCAGTGCTGTATTTATCTCTACAGGCAGTACAAGCTAATGTTTGTATTGACCTCAAGAGAGCTGACTGCTGCAGTTAAACGCAACTGTTTTCCAGTCTCCGCATGGCACAGGTTCAACACTCTGGCGCAAGAGTACAATATGTGCCTCAGAAATGTAGCAAGGTAGAAGTATAAAGCAGCATAGAATGGAAATATTTAAGTAAAGCACAAATATGTCAAAAAAGTACTTAAGTACAATACTTGAGTAAACGTACTTAGTTACTTTCCACCACTGCATTAAATAGACTAAATAATTAATTAAAACCAGGAAATAGCAGGTAGATTAATTGGTTAATCTATCAATCAATCAATCAATGTTTATTTATATAGCCCAATATCACAAATGTTACATTTGTCTCAGTGGACTTTACAGTTTGTACAAAATATCAGTATGACAATACGATACCCTCTGTCCTTAGACCCTCACATCGTACAAGGAAAAACTTCCGAAGAAAACCCACAGTTTAAAGGGAAAAATGGGAGAAACCTCAGGGAGAGCAACAGAGGAGGGATCCCTCTCCCAGGACGGACAGACGTGCAATAGATGCCGTGTGTAAATCTACCAAATAACCAATGAATTGTAATGGTTATAAAAGTAGTCGGACCCTATGTCGCATTAAGAAATGATTTCATGAAATACAATCAACTTTATACAGGAGCTACACTGACACAAGGTACATATCATGTCCAGCAGGGTGGTAAAATAGAAGATTAAATAGTACATGTAAAACGAAAGATGTTAATCATCCATTATTTGATGAATGTTTCCAATAGAAAAAAGTGTAAGTGTGAAGAATATGGTCCAAAAATATGAATTTTAATCAAATTGCTATTTTATTGTAGGAATGTTTGCGGTATTGTTTGTTGGATTCAGATTGTACGGTATATTGTAAGCTATTTGGTGCCAGGCTTAACTTTGGTAAAAACCAAATCATTTATCTGTTGTATTATGTGTACAGTACTTTTGCTTATATGCAGTTACAGTAACATTAGCGAGCTACAAAGGAAATCTGCTGTATTTACACTGAACACTGAGCTTTTTGAGTTATGATGACTGTAATGTAAATGTTCATGCAAATCTGGCTCGTGTAGCTCTGTTAAGTCCTTATGCAAAATCTATAAGACGCGAGGGGCCCCACATAAAAAGATAACATGGTAATGGGGATGAGACTCAGTCCCAGTGCGGAGCTTCATTTCTCATACCGAAAGGACCCAGAAAGAAGAATGACTCAGTATATACGGTATAGCAGAACAATAGACTAATGTTACATATTTTCTGCAGTCACATATCCCTTGGCCATGAGGGAAAACCACCCACTTCTGACAGCACCGAGAATATCTCAGATGATTAATGCATCTGCTGCTTGTCTTATTCTCAGTGCAGGATCATTTCTAATAAAGGGTACACTTGCTTCCATAGTTGTGCATTATCAGTTCCGTGAATCAAGTACAATGCATAATCCCCTTGGTAAACCCACTAATACCTGAGATTTTAGAGCATAATCCCTTGTGCAGGTACTGTAACAAATAAATCTGTTGTCACATATCCACTGAGTCTCCAGAAATCAGCTCGAGTTGTCCTCTGTCATTCAGTAGGTTGGAACAACATCGTATGAGATAAGTAGAGCAAAAATATGGACAATATTGGACTAGAAACTTGGGCAACAGCTGATATTTCAGTACAGTAAAATCAATGTATTATTCAATACTAGTGTATGCTCGGGATAAAATACAAAATATGTCCAGAAAATAACTCGGTTTGGTGAAACCTGAAAATAAGGTAATCTCTAAAGTATATCCATATATAATATATATTAAAAAAATGTGCCACTTGAATTTTTGTCAACAGTGTCAGATATTTCAAATCTTAAATTTAGGAAACCTTGTGATCTTTGAGGAGCCCTTTTTTGTATTTGATACATAATGTATACTTTACAGAGTTTTACCATGCATAGTTTGCAGCCGCACAATTTAAACTAGCCTATTAAAGCGTTTTGTGAGTTTGACACAAAACAGAAATAAGAAGCCGGTGTCTTATAAAGGTAACTGCCAAAAAATGAAAGGTTACAAGAATCTTTTGTTATCTTTTGAATGCCTTTTTTCTAACTTCTTAATATTTCTGCAAACACTTTCATCACAAAAGTGTATTGAGTGCTCTTTTATGCTGCAAGCAACAATCAATACACACATGTTTTCTTTTTGAAAATATCTGCATTTCTTTGTGTGTGAGGAATACAATGAAGGACAAACAAAGAGTCGGGGAGTGCAGGAGACATGAAGAGATTATTGACCGTCCTTACAGATGAGTGAATATTTCTTTACAAAAAACAAGCCTTCGTTTTATCCCAGCTTCTCAACTTCTGGCGCCCTACATCTTCTCTTATCACTTAATGCTTTAAGTTTAAGGTGTTGTATTTCAAATTAAAGTACATGAAAAGCAACATCATTTTTTATATAACAATAAACGGGCAAGAAGCCATGTAAAGGAGGAACGTTCAGTCATCCTCTGAGTACAAACCAGTCTTTTCTGACCACTCCATTGTCTGTTGTTTCAATACTGCTTGTTTTATTTTGTTGACGCAGTGTTTTCTGTGGACTCTGCATTTCCCCCTGCTGCCGGCTGCATTATTCTGTTGTTTTTTCCTCTCCTCTAGCTTTAGGCTTTTTTTTCCTGACCAAAACCTGTCTCCAATATTTCTCACCCAGAATGCACTGGAGAGCCCAATTTGCATACAGTGGACGGCTAAACCGCCCATGTGTGAATGTTTCACAAATCAACAAATTACATGTTGACAGGGTAAATGTGGAAAGGATACTGCAATTTAGCGGATCTTTGGCTCTGCATTTGCAATTTCACATGCGTCTTTTAACTTTCAAGGACATTTCTGCTCCATTAGTTTTCGATCAGGCTGGGCCCATAATGCACAGTGCATATGCATGTGAGCAAGTGGCCTCAGCCCTGTGTACATTTGTTTTCTGACAGATATGACAAGTACAGTATGTGTGTGCTGTAAATATGGTTTCTTCAAGCTCTCGGATAACTAGGAAAAATATATAATCAAATCATCTCACGCCTCAAGCCTTTAGATGGTTCAGGCCAATACTTGTTCTTATAACGTTGTCATTGTCACAACAGGAATCTGCAACAATGACATATTTTGTTTGCGAAGTCGGCTTTCACAGCAGGAATACTGTTAAAAATAAATGTTTACCAGGACTAATACTGTTCAGACAATAGGCTCGGAAAGAAGTGCTTTCTCTAGTGCAATTCGTAATTTATGAATTATAGAACTAATGGTGGGCTGATACTTCACATTAAATAAAATAACACATGCGGAGCTCCGCGGGGCACAGGCTGAGTGAGTGTGTGCGGATTGGTCCATTTGGACTTAGTGACGTCAACCTGCCCCGGAAGGAAAAAATGGAAAAAGAAAAATCTACAACGA